CGGGGCGGGCGAGCGAGCGCCACGTCCACGCGTGCACCCCGCGGGTGCCCGCGCGAGCCCGTCACGCCTGGCCCGCAGGCTCCGCCATGGCGCGGCGCCGCCCGGCGGGAGGGGCAGAGCGGGCCGCCGGAAGAAGAGAGCGGGCGAGCGGCGTAGGCGAGGCACAAAGACGACGAGGAGAAGGAGGACGACGACGACGACGAGGACGAGGACGAGGACGAGGACGAGGACGACGACGAGGGCCCTCACATGGCGGGCAGGGGCTCGGGGAACAAGCAGTAGCATGGAAACTCGGCGTCGGGCGCGCACCAAGGAAGGGGTCCAGCGCCGTTCGAAAACATCGGCGCGGACCGTCGAAAGTTTATGTTTATGTAGATAGAACCACGCGCGCGCTGCGCGCGAGCGCGCCGTGGTTCTAGCATGTTGCGGCATCGGAGTGAAGAGAAAACTTCGACCACTCATGATGAATCAGCAGATGATAACCTCCCTCTATGTTCCCACAGATGTTATGCGGTGAACTCCAATCGCCCTTAACCCTGCATTATCCTCTCAGCAAGCCTTCTCATTCCCTCTCCATTCCGCCCCCCTTTTGGCGGACCGATGGCAGCAGAGTCATCGTGGCAGAAGAGGTGTTGCGGCCGCGGTGGAGGTGTACCACTCGGCACGCAACGCGACAAATCCGCCGGTCCCTTGGGGATCATCGGCGTGTGAGATGCCCCCCCCTCCCCAAACCCCTCCCCCGGGAGCCCGGTCCGGTCGATTTGGAGGGGGGGGGGGCCGACGAGCGACTCACGGGCTCTTCTGGGCCCAAGAAGGCCTAAAGATGGGCCAAGAAGGCCCCAAGAGGCCTCCAAGACGGCCCACGAGGGCACCGAGACGCCAAACCAGCGCTCCAAGACGCCCAAGATGACCCCAAGACGGGCCAAAAGGCCCCGAAGACGGCCCAGGAGGTCCCAAACAAGCCTCCCAAGAGGGCCCCGAGAGGCTAAAACTGTTGATTTTCCATTTTGTTTTCCGTGTGTTTTGGTCTTCTGGCCTTTTCGGCTTCCCGACGCTCCAAGACGGCCCAAGAGGCCCCGAAGACAGCCCCAAGACGGCCCAAGAGGCCTACAAGACGGCCCCGAAACGGCCCAAGATGGCCCCAAGACGGCCCAAGAGGTCCCCAAGACGGCCCAAGAGGGACTTTCAGCTTTGTAGCCCGCGGCTCTCGAGGATGCCGCTCCACTCCGATGCCTGGCACCTTTTGCAAGTTGCCCAACGCCTTGGCCCTGGACCTGACGCTGCCATGAAGAGATCACCCCGCTTACCTGCACAGATCTACTAATGAAACGGATGTTGGGTGACTGAGCCCCCCTTGAGCACCGCGCGCGGGGGTCTGGCGCTGGGGTTGCCAAAATGGTCCGCCTTGCGTCACAACGGCTTGAGAGTGAGCAAGGAGGGAGAAGGAGGTAGGGCAAGGGAGGAGGAAGAGGAGATATTACGACGTAGGGAGGAGCGAGCAACGAAGAGGCGAAGACGTGGATGACGACGAGGACGAGGAGGGGGATGATGAGCAAGCATGAGGAGCGGCAAAAGGAGGAGGAAGGAGGGCGGAGTGGGAGGATGGGACACAAGGAGGGAGAGACTGATGGGGATGTGGGACCCACAGCAGACCCAGACATCTGGCGGCTGATTCTTGTCGAGAGATGTGCTCCCAGACTACCCGACTTTTTCCCAAGGCTGGTTACTCCTTATGACTAGGCCCTTGACTAGAAACCTCCCGGATGGGGGCGGAGTAGATGGGGGCGGAGGCTCTCGCCGCATCGTCGATGCAGATCTGATGCATCGGCGACGCCAGCGCGGCGGAGAAAATCAGGCTCCACATCGAGGCGCATCGGCGATGCCTCCGGCCCCATCCAGACTGATGGCCCGGGAGCCCCGAACAGGCCCCGAGAGGCCTGCGACTAAGAACAGCTGGCTGCCACGATCGCCTCGAGGCGCTGGGCGGCCAGCCCAGACCTCCGACGTTTTCACCACGCCGGCCCCCGAGGTCTGGACCCCCTCCCCGGGGCCGGCTTTTCGCCCCGAGTCGTTTTTCGACGGTGCCGAGGCCAGGAGCCCTGCACCCATTTCGACACCCCCCTCACACGTTTTGTGTGGCCCCATAGGGAGCTCCACCGAAGGCCCCAGTGCCACCGTCCGCATGCGTCCGCCGCACCCATTTCGGCACACCACTCACCGGGTTCGCGGCCCCTTAGGCAACGCCACCGAAAAAGATATTCAAAAATTCAGGTACTCACACAACGGGCCCTTCGCCAGGCTGATTTGGCGGTGCCGAGGCCCGATGAGGGTCCCCAGAGGCCGACAATGCTGAAACACCTCCCGCCCCGATATCCTCTCGCAACGCGAGGAGGTCTGTGGGGGGGCCCACGCCGACGCGGGAGGGCCCCCGCGCATCCTGCGGCGTCCCAGCTGCCGCGGCGGGCGGCACGACGACCGGCGGCGCTTGCCACCGGTGCCCCTCGGGCGGAGGAGGGGGAGGTTTTGGGTGACCCAGGAAAGTGTCCAGCTGAAGGGGGTGGTGTAACAGATTTGGGGCAATTGTATTGCAAATGTATTGCGCCAGAGCGTTGTATTACATTGTATTGTATTGTATTGCATTGGATTGCAAGTAGTGCGTCGCACGCGAAAGTCCAGCAATACAATTGCGCCCCGGAATGTATTGCACGCCCCAAACGTATTGCAACCCCACAAATCTATTGCTCCAAATCTGTTGCACCACCCCCTTGTCGCTGGACCCCGACACAATATCAGGCTGCTGCGCACCGAGTCAGTTTTTTACGTGGCGCTCCCTTGGGAAGAGCTCTGGGCGATTGTGCTCCCTCACGCCCGCCACTGTGAGCCAACCGGCTACAGATGACAACAACGATGTTCCTGCCCTCCTACCCTATCTTAGCTCAAACAATACTCAAATTCCCTTATCAATCGACCTCCCCCAGAAAACCGGACCCCCTCCAAATGCGACCTAAAATTCCAGACCCCCCTCTTTGACTCTTCGACGGGTTGATAGACCGGACCCCCTAGGCTCCAATCCAGAGAAAGCGCCCTAATGAACCAGACCCCCCCAGTTGCAAAACAGGCGCCTCAAAAAACCACACCGGGGGGACGATTGCTGAGGGATTTTGAGCATGCGCGCGGGAGTTGGCAACTCCCTTGCGGGTCAACCCGAGAGGTGGGGCCGACCGCTCGGGGGGCCGCCCTGTCGGCATCTCTTCTGGGCCTCGCGGGCGCATCTGCGGACCATGGGGAGGCTCAGGTCGGGCCTGTCCCCCTACAGGCGGATTTCTTGGACCAAACATTGCAAATATCCCAAACACATTCCAAAAACGTTCCAAAATGGTACAACCAATCCTCCCCATCATATTTTCTGACTATGTTTGAATAGATCCCTCCTGTAGAGGGACGTGCCCGACTTGAGGGGAGGCCCGGGGAGCTCCTGGGAGGCCCCTGGGAGGCCCCTGGGAGGCCCCTGGGAGGCCCTGCCTGGCCCTGTGAGCCCTCAGATCCCGGCGGCCCCCCTTTTCCTTCGGGCCGGGCGCGTGCGCTGAGCCGCCGGGGCCGGGGGCCCTCGCAGACCGCCTGGGCTCGAAAACTGGCGCAGAAAGATGGGGTCCGGGGCTCCCGGCGTGATGGCCGACGATGTTGCCATGCTTCGCTACGTCGAATCTCGGGGGGGATCGAGTCGAGTCGACAAGTCGGATCGGCGATCGAAACGAATCTGGTCGGCAGCCTGGTAGGCCTCCATTAGATGACCGGAGCCCGAATCGGATACGCGATTCGAATCGAATCGGAATCGGAAGCCATCGAAGTCGAATCGAATCGAATCGGAGGAATCAAAACGAGCCCTGTCAGGGAGACTCTGGGAGGCACCGAGAGGTCCCTGGGATGCCTTGAGGGTGCATATATGGGGCGGGTGCCGCGCCCCCGGGCGGTCCGGGGGAGGGAGGTCCTCGGCCGCCCTCCGGCTGTGGCTGGGCCCCACTGGAGCCCCGGGGGCCTCCTTGGGACCTCGGGCCCTCCGCCATTCGCCCCAGAGTCGGGCGTCGGCAAGACTGGGTCTATAGCGGGACCTGGTGTCATGATCTGCACTGCGGAACGACGCCCCCCGCCCCCTTCCACTGACCGGAACTGCCGTCACCCGAAAAACACACAGCTACGGCAGACCTGGCTTGGCGATTCCAGTCCACATTTTGGACCTCGGGGCCCAATCACTAGCCGGCACCCCTTAACCGGGGTCCTGGCTATCCCCGACAGAGGCATAATCGGGGGAGGTGAAGAGGGGGGACAAGGGGACTCTCAGAGGGGATCGGCCCCTAGAAAGGCCCTTCCCAACACCCCGCCCCTGAAATGCAAGGAGCCTTTGACAAGTTGCCCTCCTGACGCATCGGTCCCCCCCTCCGGGGGGGTAGGTCCTAGGGGGCGATCCCCCGAAGCCAGAGGAGAGAGTGCACGTGCCCGCCGACGACTGGGATACTGGGGCCAGGTGACCCTAGGGAGGGGTCCCCCGAAGCCAGAGGAGCGAGTGCACGTGCCCGCCGACGACTGGGATGCGGGGGCAGGTGGCCCTAGGGAGGGATCCCCCGAAGCCAGAGGAGCGAGTGCACGTGCACGCCGACGCCTTGGGATCCTGGGACACGTCTCCAGGAGAAAAGGGAAACATCTAGATTTTGCCTGGCGGGGGGAGCGGCACAGGTTGACGCAATGAGGACGAGGTGGCATGGCGGGCTCAAAAATCCTTAGCGAAACAACCTTGCCATCTCTTGGGAGGCCGATTGCTATTCCCGCCGACTTGCGACGACCGGCCCTCCGCCGACGGGGACGGCCTCGTGTTGGTTCCGCCGCCTTCCGCCGAAGAGATATCAACTCCTTCGATCCTCGAAGACGACTCATCATATCTCATAACATCGTCGCCGCCCTGTGGCTGGCCCCCCCCTGAAGCGCCTCGCTCTGAGGTGGATTGATTTGTATGGAGATGAACTGTCCTGAGCTGAATTAACACACCCTGGCAAGACTCCGATTCGATATTGCATGATACGAGCTTGACAGCGTCAGGTTTAAATGTGCTGCAAAGGGAGGATCAGAATTGCAGCTAGCGGAAATGAACAATGCTGATCTGCCCGTCTCATCCTGCCGCATCGCCCCCGCCCCTCCCAGGAGGAGGGAGAGACGGAGGAACAGGACGATGACGACAGCGCCGTTTCTATCCCTCCGGAGGCTTCAAGAAGGTCCCTGGAAGACCCCAGAGCCCTACAGAGGACCTAAAAGGACGAGAAACGAAACAAACAATTATCGTTAGGTCGGGCATGTCCTCCCACAGGCGGATTTGGGACGAACAGTTAAACATAGTCAAAGAACATCCAAACATGGTAAAAAATACTTAGACAGCCGTCCCCGGACTACTTTCTGACTATTTTGAAATATTCCTCCTGTAGAGGGACAGGCCCGACACAAAATGATCGATGCCCTCCTTGGAAGTGCCGTGACAATCGTGGGTGATGGCGCAGGCTCCTTCTGGGCCTGCGCTGCGCCCGAGTGCTCGAGGAGCGCCCGGGGCGCAGACCCAGGGCCCAGGGATCCCCGAGAGCCCGCTGTCGAGAAACCTGATGTTGCCACGAACCCCGACCTGTGAATGCAGGCAGGGACGGCTGGAGAGAGCGGTAGGGGACAACCGCGGCGAGACGGAGAGGGAGTTCCCATGTTGGAATGCACAGCAGAAGGCGGACGCGGTCGACGATCTTCTCTATGAAGTCGGACAGGCGAGCGGCCGAGAGGTGTTTGTCGAACGGTATGCCGAGTGCTGTGCACCAAGCTGAGATGGCGATGGGGGCATCAGCACGCGAGGTGTGGAGGTTCCACTTAGGCAGCCAGTCGCGCAAGAGTCGTTCCGAGTCTTCGGGGTGCTGGCGACCCCACTGCTTGATGAAGGCTGCGTCGAGACTGGGGAGCCACTGAGGCTCCGCTCGCAGAGTGACAATTGCGTCGACGATGCGGTCGATATACTGCGGCCGGAGGTCGTTGCAGAAGCCTCTGAAGGGAATGAGGAGGGCTGCGCACCAATCGTCGATAGTGACATCGTCGTGGCCTCTCTGTTTTGTCGTCCTAGGAGGTGTCCTGGGACCCTCTGAGGCCTCTCTTGGGAGACGTCCTTTGAGAGGCGTCCTCGGACCCTGTGAGGCCTCTCTCTTTTTTTTTCCTCACACCTCGCGAGGATGAGGCGACAAAATGAGTCCCACACACCTCCCAAGAACGCAGTCCGCTTACGTCCGAGAGTGTCAGAGGCCAAACGCCTGCAGACGGCGTTCATGGCGTGCTTGCGCTGAAAGAACCACAATGGCTTGTGTTCTCAGCAGAAGGTGCCGGGGATGCAGCGGCCAGCACTGTACACGAGCTGCTACCTTGGGCTGCAGCTCGCTGAACATTGCTGCGTGAAAATGCGCTGCTACCTTGGGCTGCAGTGCCACGCAACTAAAAAACCCCAGCATTACTTCTCCCACACGGCACTTGAACGAAAGATGGACATGCTTGGTTCGCGCATGAATTTTCTGTCCTGAGTCCTGAGTCCTGGGTCCACTTAAAATGCGAGGTAGCGCTTGCAGCGCAAATCGGGATTGGTGACGGAGGAATGGTCCCCACCGCCGAGCAAACCACCGACTGGATACCCCGACTTGCCCAAGTTCTTGACAAACATATTCAGGTAGGGAATGCCTCCGCCAGTACGGCCCCATACGGTCTTCAATTTAATGCTGTGGAAGCTCATCCAGCCCGTTCCCTTTCGATGGGCCTGCGGCTGCTTGGCCGTGTAATGGAAGCCGCCCTCGCGCACGTCGTCCGCCCACTTGCCGGTCACATTAATGGATACAAAGTAAACGTCCGAGCATGCGTCGCCACAACGCTGTGCCACGGCCGCGACGGCCAGGAGCGTCGCGCTCTCCGCTGCAAACTGTGGGACCTCGACCAGCAAGTGCCTGCCGTCTTTGAGGAGATCAAAACGCTCCCCGTGTATATTTACCAGGTGAGGATCCCCGACTGCAGCAGCAATCGCTGCAGGCGTACGGGCTGGCGTAGGGGCAGGCGTCGGCACCGGGGTCGGTGCAGGCGTCGGCGCGGGCGTTGGTGCCGGCGTAGGCGCCAGCGTCGGTACCGGGGTCGGTGCAGGCGTCGGCGCGGGCGTTGGTGCCGGCGTAGGCGCCAGCGTCGGTACCGGCGTGGGTAGGTCGTAGATGCACGCGAACTTTCTGTTGTTATGGCCGCAACATGTGAATCGGTGTGACATGCTTTGCTTTGAACCATCACTGAAGTAATAAAAGAGATCGGCATCATCAAGCCCGTTGGAAAGTGTCATCCACCATCCCTGCCCGAATTGTTGGAGGGCGGATGGGAACATATCCAAATCATTCTCTGTTGCCAAATACCCTCCCAGTTGACTGCAATGCTGCTCGATGTCCTGGCAATCAAGCTGGA